GGAAAGAAAGGAAAAGGAAAGGGAAAGAAAAGAATGGTCCTATCCCTGAGGATCAGGACTAAGGTCTCCTAATTGGACCAAGGTCCTTGTATCAATGAAAAATAGATATCTGGTGCATGGCAAAATCATTTCTCCTCTTCTCCTCCATCACGTCAATTCAAAAGGCTTTCATTTTATTTTATTTTTACATTGGCCAACTGAAGCTGTCATGTTTGGGAGCTAAAAGTGTTATCCTGCGTGGGCATCACATCCATCAATTAACGTTTCTGCCTTCTGTGCTAAAGGAATTATCTCCAAGTTCATCTTGATGAATTTTTCTCTCTACCTCATTACCCAAGCTAGATACAGCAGAGACTTTTCATGTTTAATGGCAACCATCTTACACACATTCTGATTCTTTTGAATGCACACATGCCTATTTATAGAGGCCCATGAACATTCCATTGACTGTTTCTGCATTAAAAACACTTAAATTACAACAGCCATACAAGTCCTTTGTAAAATAAAATCAAACATTATAGAAATGTTTTTAAAAATGAAAGCCCTCAAAGAGAATTTTTTTCCAATGCACAATTATGAGTCAAATCACACACTATATATACTCTACTGCGATTTGATTTTTTACTTCCTTTTTTATCTGAGTGCGTAGAAGTAAGATGGTCATTAATAACTGACACTTTTCTTTATACCCTTTATTACTAATAAAACTTTCATTTTGAGAGTGCATTTAACTTTTATAGCACATTCGCATTTAATTTCTTAATTGCTCCTTAGATGGACTTATGAGATCAGAGGAGATCTTGAATCACTAAGATTCCTAACGTAAATTCCTTGTGTATTTCTCTGTGTTTACTTGCTGATATTCTGGTTCTGTCATTTGAATGCAAACTTCTTGAGGGCAAGAGACTCTGCCTGTCTATGTCATGCCTGATTCTCTCTGGTATATTGTAAGTTGTCAATAAATGTATGTGTAAACATAAATAACAATTTATTCTAAATGTTTCTATCTTCTGGATAATCCTCTCTCCATGGGATTCTCCAGGCAAGAATACTGGAGTGGGTTGCCATTTCCTTCTCTAGGGAATCTTTCCCACCTAGGGATCAAACTGGAGTCTCTTAAGTTTCCCGCATTGGCAGGTGGGTTCTTTACCACTAGCGCTACCTGGGAAGCCCAGATAATCGACAGTTTGCATTTTCAAAAATCTGAATGAATTTATTGCTGAAATGTATAGAAGTCTTTCTTGCCTTTGTAAAGAGAGTCCACAATCTAGATATTAATATTTCCTGGAAGTACAAGATCATCACTGTATCATCGACAATTACTTAAGTGTGTATTTTACTACTGTGATTTTAGAGCGCAAAATATATCAGGTTCTTTGCCTCTACCTTAACTCACCTAGACATTTATTTAATTGTTTAACTTCTTGAGTCTTCTGACTTAAAAAAATAGCAACAATTGATAGCATCATTTTATTTCAGCAAACATCTGGGTGCCTAATGTATTGATTACAAAAAAAAAAAAATGACACAGTCTCAATGCACAGGGATCATAGGATCATATGTCTTTGATGACAGTACACAGGAATTCTCATTTTGAATATATTGCTGCTCTGTAATGCTATATAGTAAGTTTAGGAATCAATAATGAAGTGTACTAGCAACGTGTATAAATCATGAGAAAGCAGGTATAGAAAGGAGTCTCCCATTTGTACTCCTATTTGTATGTAGGTTAAGTGATATCTGGTCCCCTGTTTATGGAGGATTTTTTAAAATATATAATGCATATATTTACTTAGTTGCAGCAATAGGTATCTTTGTTCCAGTGCGCAGGCTCCAGGGCATGTGGGCTTAGTTGCCTGGTACCAAGTGGGATCTTAGTTCCCCAACTAAGGACTGAACCCATGTCCCCTGCATTGGAAGACTAACTCTTAACTACTGGACCATCAGGGTAGCCCCTATGGAGGATTTTTTAAATTGCAGCTGATTCTCAATTATGTTTAGGGAAACCTAAGTTTTGTTTGTTCTTTGTAGAGGAGGTATTATCCACATGATAGAAATAAAATGGAGGCCTGAAAGAACAAATTTCTTGTCTAAGCTTGCATTGCTAGTTTGAAGCAGAGCCAAGAAAATTCCCCTTTCTTGATTTCTGACTACATGTATTTCTCACCAGACCACAGACTCACAAGAACTTGTTACAGAATGATAAAGCGTACAGGTGAGCCTTGTATGCATCTCTGTGTAGTATTTGCAGAGCTTTCCAAAATAAGGGATGAGAGCCACTTGCCTTCCTTCTGTATTAGGCAGCTGTCCTTTGTGAATCTGCTCATATCAAATCATAGAAGAGCAAGGAGTTGAGACAGTTTTTCAATTTGTGTGTAAGGGATGAGAACTTAGGAAAAACAGCAACAGACATGATAGGCAATTCAAGAGACGATCAGGTGTGATTGCTTGTCTCAAAATCTTAAGCTTTTACATTTGCCCTGGGTTATTAACTCAAATGGAGCAAAAGCCTTAAACCTGTAGGAAATGTGGTGTTAATACAGTTTAACATCATATGAACTTGTCCTCAGTACAGGCTTTTCTTGGGCTTCTAGTTGATGTGAGTTTCTTGATCTGGGTCTCTTGCTGTTCAGGCCTTCTCTTGTCCTGGCTTTCTGAATTTTTGTGATAGGCTGCGGCATTTCATTTGTGTTGACTGGCTCTTCATGCAAGTGCACTGACAGTGAACACAGTGGCCAGAGGGACCTCCCCAATGTATGAATCAAATCATGTCATTCAACTACTGAAAACCTCCCACTATCTTCCTATGGCAATTAGAATAAAACCTTATGTTGAAATTTGTTAAGAAAGTAGAACTTAAATGTTCTCATCTATATCTATCTATATTTATATCTGGATGTGTTAATTAAGTTGTTGGGAGGAATCCTTTCATAGTGTAAATGTATATCAAATTGTCACAATATAGACGCTTTAAACGTTTTACAATTTTATTTGTCAATTATACTTCAATAAAGCTGAAAAAAAAAAAAAGAAAGAAATCCTAAGTCTTGCCAGGGTCTGCAAATACTTCCATGATTTTGCACTTGCCACATCCATCGCCGCACTCCCCACCCACATGCTCTGACCACACTGGCCTTTTTCCCTGCCTCTCTGTTACTAGAAGCTCTGTATTCACTGTTCCCTCTTCCCGAGCACTCTTCTCCCAGGTCTTCATATGACTGCCTCATTCTCATCACTTAGGTCTTCACTAGTGTCTTCTCATCAGGGACTTGCCCATGGCTTCCCTCCTCAATGTCACTCACCCAGCTCACCACACCCTGCCAAATGACTTCTAGTCCATTACTTGGTTATTTTCTTCATAGGGCCTATCACAATTTGAGATTCTTCTTACATGTACATTTTATTTTCTTTCTTCCCCAAAGGAATATGCATGCCATAGGGGCAAAGACTTTAAAATTCTCATTTACTGCTGTTTTCCCCAAACCTAAAACAGTGTCTAGCACACAGAAGGGGCTTAGAATTTGGTTGTTGAATGAATGAATGAACAGGGCACAGATTAGTTGAACTTCAGTAACTCTCATCACTGCTTAAGTACTTAGTCCCGCACTCAAGTCCATTCACAACACTCAAGCCCTTTGGATTAAGTGTGCTAGATTCATATCAATAATTCTTGCCCACAAGAATTATTATGAATGCCCCATTAATACCAGTAGGATCATTATAGAAGGCATGCTAATAAACGTGTTTACAAGTCATACATAATGACAGCAAAAGCAATAATAAGACCACATCATCATCATCACAACCACACTTGCTGAGCACGTGCCAAATGTTGGATGCTACACTTGTCTCACGTTTGTTTTTAACCCTCACCACAGTCCTGCAAAGTAAGTGATAGAATCTATTTTGCAGAATAGGAAAACAAGGGCACATATTCATTATGTCTCAAACATGTTTGCAGATTCCCTTGTTCCTCTTAGCATGCTTATCAGTGCTTATTAACATCCTCCTCTTCTGAGCAGATATTCTGCCAAGGACTCAGGACAAAAGAGGGTCTCAGGGAAGGACGTGAGTGAGTCGCTCAGTCATGTCTGACTGTTTGCGATCCTGTGGACTGTAGTCTGCCAGGCTCCTCTGTCCACGGGATTCTCCAGGCAAGAATACTGCAGTGGGTTGCCATTAGCTTCTCTAGGGGATCTTCCAGACACAGGTATCGAACCCAGGTCTCCCGAATTGCAGGCCGATTCTTTACTGGCTGAGCCATCAAGGAAGCCCCCTTAGGGAGGCTTAGGGCACGAGGCTAGTCCCACCGCTGCTGATCACAGGGGACTGAGACACTGCCCCACGCTCAGCTCCAGCCAGAAAAGGGAACCGAGCAGTAGTGTGGAGGAAGGTGTGCGAATGGCCCCCATCACAATCAAGGGTGCAGTAATTTCCTGTTTAGGGGGGCCTATTCAGAAGCTTGCTAAGCAGACCAGCTTCTTTGTGACTCTGTGGTACACACCCCATCCCCTTTTCAGCAGAGCCCCATGGCAGCAGACACGTTCATGGTACCCCCTTCTCCAGCCCTGCACGCCTCTGCCCTCCACCCCGCGACAGCGAGGCCCTGATAGCAGGCCAATACCCAGGCTTGGCCCTTCCGAGTTCAGAGGTGGGGACCAGCGGGGGAGGGGCGGTCACACCGTGTTCTCGGCAGATGCCAGACACTGACGTGGGGGAGAGGGCTCTTTGTGGGAGGAAGGTGGGAGCCCGGGTGTGCCCAGCTGGAAGCCGCCCGTAATTTAACACTCGCAGATGGAGACTGGGGGTGATACGATACCCCCAGCTGTCTGCCACTGCCGTCTTGAAGGCCCCCCTCGGCTGCCTGGGACTCAGGATGCTTTGGGAAGGGCCCGGTGCGGGTGGGGGCGGCCTAATAAAGCAGCTGGTCTATTAGAAGATAAGCTTTGTGGAGAATCATACAATCATTCCGAATCCCCCTAATCCCAAACTTTATTGCCCTAGATAATAAGCTTTGGTGGCGACGCTCCATTGAAATATGGAATTGTCTGCAGGCTGGAGGCACCTGCTGTGTCACTGAGCTCCCGGCCGGCGACTGCCAGGCACAATTCAGAGGCAGGTGCAGAGCGCCGCCGCCTCGCCTCCGAGGGAAGGGGGCCGGCAGGGCTCCCGCGAAGGGCTGCAATCACGGTGTCCAGGAGGCCCGGCTCAGGGCTGGGAATTTCTTTCCGAGGCTTGCGTATTAAGTTGTTTGGGGGCCTTGGGAGAGAAGGAGCAGGAGGGAACATTTGTCTGCTGGGGATGCTGAGCTTAGAGGAGGCACCAGCTCCATCTGCAGACCTCGGTGATCCGAGGCTGATCAGTCTCTCCCATCCTCCTGCCACTCCTCCTTGTAGCTGCCGAAGCCGACTTTGGGCACAGGCTGTTTCCTCCTGCCCTCTTACCTGCATTCCACCTGGCCAGCATCCCTGGCCCCGCCTCTGTGATGCCTTTTGCGGCCCCACCAGGGAGATGTATGTGTGTTCTGTATGCCTCTCTAGTCATGGATTCATGGCAGGATTGTAGCCCAAACATTAATGAAACCATCCATTAATTACTTTGCCTCCTCCACTAGACTAGGGGTCTTCAAGGCTTGGGACCAAATACTCTTATCTTTTAGTAGTTAGTTTAGTAGTTACTCTTACCTTATCTTTTAGTAGTTTTCTTGAAAATGCTCGAAAGATTTTCCCCTCCCCACCCCCAAAAATGACTAGAAGCAACCTAAATGCACATAAAATGGACTCCTACGTGGCCATTGAAAATACTGAGGCAGATCTACATGTATTCACAAGGAATGAAATCCAAAAGCATTTTGTTAAGAGAAAAAATGCGAGGTGTGAGTGCCGAGTGTTAACTTATGTTTAAAAAAAAAAAAAAGTAATACTGGTGGTAAGAGCTGCCTGTGGGCAGAGTACTTGGAAGTGGGTTATGGTAGGTGGGAAGGAGACTGATTTTACACTTTAAACCCCCCCCATAAAACTGAAAATTTTAGCATGTGTGAATATTACCTTTTAAAAAGACAGAAACAAAGTACGCTTGCACATGTGGAAAGAGATTTGTTGAAAGCCAGAATAAATAAACAGCTCAAGCTCAGGTTGCTCTTACTCCTCTTATTCTCCAACCATGATCTAGAACCATGGGATGAGTCTGCCCAGAGGCACTTGCAACAGAAAAAGGAAATGTACCAGACAAGCTCCCTCCATGGGGACCAACATTTTGGGCTGGAACAGGAACTTGTCAGTTGCCATCAATGAGCTGAGAAGCTGTGGAGAAGTTTGGAAGACGTAAGACACAAATTCAATGCCTGCTCCTGAATGTACAGTTGTGGGTGTGAACAAACCAAGGAGGCATTTAATAAACCTCTGTTGGAGGAATAAGAGATCTGGCAGGACACATCTTTAAAGAAAACTGTCAGGGTTTTCCTCATTGTCCTGATGAGGATGAAAATGTTCAAATTCTCCTTGTTAACGTATTCTGTCCTTGTTTCTTCCTTCCCCCTCTCTTCCTCTCCCTTTCTCAACTACGGTTATAGATGCCCTCTCTGCAAGGTCTGCCCTCCCTCAGATGAACACGACCTAAATTATTTGGCTCCCTCTCTGATGGTGTATTGATTACTTCTCCAATCCCATAAACAATCCCTCGGCACCTCTCCAGGGGACTGACTGCACTAGATTAAATTAAGAGCAATCTTGGCTTTTGACGGGGCCTCTCCACCAAGCGGTTGCCTTGCAGGAATGATTCATGAGTTTAGTTTTGATCCTAATGGCCTCTAGTAAGGCTGACCCCTTCCTCCCACATAGCCTTTAGGCTACATAGACTGGATTTGGAGAACTTTGATTAAGGTTGGGTATATTCCCAAATAAGAGAGTATGAGAATAAACACGGTGTGTGGTCACTTGCAGAACCCAACTGAGAACTCCACTCAGGCAGAAGTGGCTAATCCACATTTTTGAGAATGGCACCCGGGGTATCGCTGGTTCTCTGTGGGCTAATGTGTTGATAAGAGCTCTTTGTAGTCCCCATGCTGAGCTGCTATGCCAGCTTTTGCTTCTGTGTTTTCCTAAAATGTGTGTCTGTGCTCATGGTTCTGACAGAAATTCAGGAACTCCCCGCTTACTTTTCTCAGGAAGGACTGAGGCTTGAAATAATTCTCAATTAGCTAATAAAGAATTCACTTGTCCTTGCTGGCTTCATCTCCGTACCCCCCATCATACACTGTGCCCCCACAATGCTGTTTCTCTAGAAAGCACTCAGTTGCTTTTCTACAACCTTCCTGATGAATTGAGTTGCCTTGATGTGCCTTAAAACAGTCTCTGATTGGCTGAGGCAGGTGACTGTCTGTCTGGTAACTGACTTGGATAGACAGGGTACCCTTAGGTTTAGGAACTCCTCACTAAATCTTCTCCCAAAGGACAGGATAGCATAACTCAGCTGGAGTTTGGGGCATCAGGGTAGAACTTAAAGAGTGAATACACAGAGTACCCAGGTCCATCGGCACTAAAAACACCCAAGACACTCAAGCTCATTGGGCTTCCCAGGCGGCTAAGTGGTAAAGAATCTGCCTGCCAAGCAGGAGATGGAGGAGACATGGGGTCAATCCCTGAATTGGGAAGATTCCCTGGAGAGGGAAGTGGCAACCCATTCCAATATTCTTGCCTGGAAAAAAATCCCATGAAATGTAGGCAACTACTTGGCAGATTATTACATTTGCATTCAATGAAATGTGAATTAAAATTTATTTATTTATTATTGGCTGCGTTGGGTCTTAGCTGCAGCATGCAGGATCCTCCATTGCAGTGTGAGCTTCTCTAGTTGTGGCACACAGGCTTAGTTGCCCAGTGGCTTGTGGGATCCAAATTCGCCAACCAGGGATTGAACCCATGTCTTCTGTATTGGAAGACAGATTCCTAACCACTGGACCACCAGGGAAGTCCCAACGAAATATTAATTTTGATTTTTGGCGTTCTTTTAAAATATTGGTACAATATATATATTTCTTTCAGACCTCAAATATTGTCAGTTTAGTAATGTGAGTGTCCTGCCCGTGTTCCTCGAAGGATAAGAGTCCTGAAACATCCAGTGTTCTCTGGAGGAATTCATGGCAGTGGAGGCAGGTTTCGGGGAGGATCACGTTCATTGATTCCACAGCAGCAGCCTCTGAAGTGTTGCAGAGAAGTGTCAACTGAGGATGCACCCTTACAGTGCTCCGAGCTTCAAAGGGGCACTGTCTCAGTCAGTCTTTGCTGGGTGACAAACTATCCCCAAATGTGGCTTAAAAACAATGGATTCCCCCCCACCCCACCATGATTCTTTGAATTGGCTGTAAGCTTACACTGCCTGTTTTGCCAGGGTTCACTCAAGCAGCTGCCTTCAGCGGGAGGGTCAGCTGGGTTCAAGGTCAGGACGGCGGGTGTCCCTGAACTCCGTGGCAGTGGGTGCTGGCTGTCGGCTGGGGTGCCACACTTCTCTCCCATCTGGCCTGTCATTATTCAGTCGGCTGGATCAGCTTCGTTGTGTGGTGGCCTCAGGACAGCATTCAAAGAAGGTGGAAGCTGATAGGTCAGAGCAAGTCCTAACTGCCCAGACTGAAGAGGGTGGAGAAACACACTGTCCTCCAGGACAGGCAAGGCTGCGGAATTACAGTGCATAGGGCCCCGGACACTGGAATGGAAGGAATTTGCAGTCATTAAACAACACACCACCACAGAGATGCCACAGAGGGATTGCCATTTCCAGAAGCGAGGGAGAAGGGAATGTCTAGAGCCTTCAAAGAAGCTGGGGCATTGAGTCTGACCCACAGGCCTTGTGGTTTTGGGCCCCACGCTTCCCGCATAGCTCAGCTGGTAAAGAATCTGCCTGCAATGCAGGAGACCCGGGTTCGTTTCCTGGGTTGGGAAGATCCCCTGGAGAAGGAAATGGCAACCCACTCCAGTATTCTCGCCTGGAGAATCTATGGACAGAGGAGCCTGGCAGGCTATAGTCTATAGGGTCACAAAGAGTCAGACACAACTAGGCGACTAAACCACCACCATCCTTTAGAGAGTGGCTGCCCCATGGAGCGGAGAAGGCAATGGCAGCCCAATCCAGTACTCTTGCCTGGAAAATCCCATGGACGGAGGAGCCTGGTGGGCTGCAGTCCATGGGGTCACGAAGAGTCAGACACGACTGAAGCGACTTAGCAGCAGCCCCATGGAGGGTAGCTTAGTAGCAATATGGCCAAGCAGCTTGAGACGCAGAGGCTAAAGAGGCACCATTTTTCCATATGGTCATCTTACACTTTCTCTCAAAAGGCTCAGACACTCTGTGGTGAGACTGCTAATCAGCCCCTAGAATCCTCACAAGGAAATCTGGGCCGGGTGCTCAGCTTTGTCCATCAGGGGAGGACAAAAAAAAAGCCACAGTGCCTGAACAAAACCACAGGTAGGAGTAGATCCTCAAATCAAAAGGCCTGGTTGTGAAACCTGGCTCTATCACTACTAGCTGTGCTACGTAAACAAGAGATATAAACTCTCTAAGCCTCAACTTTCTCCTCCGTAAAATGGATGATTATTAAATCTTTTATTTTTAATCACGTGTGTATATGTGTTGTGTGTGGATTTAATTAGACCATGCCATTTGTCTTCAATATCTGGCATTTGTTGTCTTCAATATTACATATTAGTTCTCATTATTTTTCAAAGACACAGAATTCATAGGAAAGAGAGGTGTCTGAAATGAGCATCTTAATATGTTTGGGGAGTCTAAAAGAACAAAGAAAAAATTCAACCTGTCCAGTTATCCTGACATTTAACATGGACTGGGAGGGAGTAGTGAGAAAGGATCCATGTACTTAGATCAATCTGGGTTCTTAGCCTGGTTCTGCCAGTTACTGTGTAATCTGGAGCAAAATACTTAGCTCTCTCAGTTTCCTCATCTGCAGAGTACATGTAATAATAGCATATACATTACATCATATACATCAAAGGGGTAGATGTGACAATTAAGGTAAACTTACGTGAAACAACTAGCACATAATAGACACTTGGAATACATTAGTTCTCTTCTGTCTCCTTTTTGAATTTCTAATTCTTCACTTGAGTTCAAATAACAGATTCAACAATATTGGGGTGGGGCCACTGGTCTTTAGAGGGTGGAACTTGATTCTAACCATTTTTTTGTTTTATTTGATTTTGGGGTCTTTTGCCAGAAGCCACCAAAAGAAGCCTCCCTCCTCTTGAAACATCAAGTGCATTTTTTGTCATTATGGACTGTTCTCACTCATTGTTCTGTCCCTTTAAGGAAAAGACCCTGAACAAGCTGCTCACCCCATTAATACTAAAGGCTGTGAGTTTTTCAGTTCTACTGAACTCTGCATGACCCTCGCAGACAATAATTGCTTTAACATAGGGTTAGGCAACAGCAACAAACTTGTCTAAAAATAAGCCAGGGCTTAAAATACAACTTAACCTGGGAGATTTAAGTAGGTAAAGAAGATGGCTTCTCTCCGGAATTGCTTCTTGATTAATCACCCCATCTGAGGCTGTTGGAAAAATGACAGTTTTCAAACAGGGCTTTAAATGTCTCCTGCTCTACTTTTCCACACTGGCAGGAAGCCAGTTCCTGTAAGCCATTGGTTCTTAAAGGGGACTGGTTCCCTTGGAATTTTCCTAAACTGCAGCCCAGGAAGATTGTGAGATAGTAATGGGCAGGCTGATGGGAGGGGATTTTCATGTTTCTCTCTTAAAGTCTGCCCAGCTTCAAGATAAACTCACGGAGTGGCTGTTGAGTCTTGGAAGAGAAAAGAAGCAATATTGAGGGATAGTTTCAGCTTTGCTCTGGGCTTCTGGCCAACAGGCTTCAGGATGTCTACTAACTTCTTTCCAGCCACATTATCTACCATCTTGCCATCTCTACTGGGCTCGTGGCACTTGGTTGACTTAGCCCTCGTCTGCTCTCTGGCCCTCCTGCTGGGTTCTGTCAACCGAGGTTTCTTCCCAGGCTCCACCTCTCTGAACATCTACACCTTGAGCTGGGAACCTTCAATTTGGAGCCAATCTGGGGATCACCTCCCATCTATGGTTGTTTCTCTTTCTCAGGTTAATTATGAATCATCTGGGCTGGAGTCTTGATTCTCCACCATACTTGTCAAGTACTCACAGCATCACTGAAAGATACCAGTGGCCAGTCTCTTCTCCTCTGTCCTTGCTAATAGACAAACTGATTCCTGCTCTCGCCACACCCTGGAGAGAGTCTGTGATTTTCAGGTGACTTTGGCTTTATCACCTAGGCCTAAAGCATATTTCTAACCAATGGGATTTTAGACAGGATTTCCATCTTGGCCTTAGGGAAGAGATTTTTCTTACCCAGGAGAGAGTTCTTCTTGACCTCAAGGCAAATAAGCTCTGTGTAAGGATGGGTTGGCTTAGTGAATGTCACACTGTGCTCCCCATCCAAACCCTAGGGTTCTGCAAAGGATTCTCTGGGAACCTCCTGCTTAGTTTCAAGAAGAGTGGCTCTATTCTGATCAGTCTTGTGTGCTGGATTGGGGCTCTACCTAAGATTATTCTCTTTGTCTGCAACATTCATCCCAAGATATTTGCACGGCTTGTTCCTTCTCTTCCTTGTGGCTATGAACTGTTCACCACCACCCTCTATCAAATAGCAACATTACCTCCCCCCATTTCCTATTTCTCTTATCATAGTATTTATACCATCTGACATACCACATCGTTATTACTTACGGTGATTCAAGCTCCCATGAGTTTTTGTTACATTTAGTACTTCAGTTCTGGCACCTAAAACACTATGGACACATAGGAAGTGCTCAAGAAACATTTTTCCAATAAATGAATAAATTATACTTACAAAAAGAGTCTTGGAGTTCCTGGATATTATGTCTTATTTATCATAAGTCAGATCAATTTCTGAATGGACTCATTTTCTTTCTTTTTACTCTATTTAAAAAATAGTCAATTTGACATTTTTGGCATGTAGTTCTGAGTTTTAGCACATGTGTAGATATGTGTAACAATCACCACCACCACCGGTCACAAAACAATTCCATCATCCCCCCAAACTCCATCCCACCCCATGATGCTCCTTTGGAGTCACATGTTACCTCCACCCTATTCCCTGGAAACCACTGATCACTATAGTTTTGCCTTTTTGAGAATATCACATAAATGGAATCATATGGAATATAACCTTTTGAGACTGTCTTCTTTCACTCAGCATAGCGCCCCTGAGATTCATCCATGTTGTCATGTGTTTTATTAGGGCTTCCCAGGTAGCGCTGATGGTAAAGAGCCTGCCTGCCAATGTGGGGGACTTAAGAGACACAGGTTCGATCCCTAGGTGGGGGAAGATCCCCTGGAGAAGGAAATGGAAGCCCACTCCAGTATTCTTGCCTGGAGAATCCCATGGAGAGAGGAGCCTGGCAGGCTACAGTCCATAGCATCATAGAGACAGACACGACTGAAGCGACTTCATGTCATATGTCATGTTATGTATTTTAATGGTTTGTTCCTTTCTATTGCCAAGTGGTATCCCATTGTATGAATGTACCACAGTTTGCTTATTCATTCACCCACTGAAGGACATCTGAATTATTTCCAGATTTTGGTGCTTATGAAGAGATGTGATCAATATTTCTGTACAGGTTTTTTTGGTATGTGTGAATCTAAGTTGTCACTGCATGCATGCATGCTGAGTCACTTCATTTGTGTCTGACTCTGTGTGATCCCATGGACAGCAGCCCACCAGGCTCCTCTGTCCAAGGGATTCTCTAGGCAAGAATACTGGAGTGGGTTGCCATTGCCTTCTCCATTGTCATTGCTCTAGGGTAAATACCCAAGAGTGAGATTGTTAGGTCATATGGTAAATGTATGCTTAATTTCATAAGAAACTACCAACCTGTTTTCCAGATGGTGGTACTACTTTATAATCCTATCAGTAATGCATGAGATTTCTAGTTGTTCTGCATCCTCATTAACATATGATACTATCAGGTTTTCATTTTGTGTGTTTCTTTGTTTTTTAAGTCTCTCTAATAGGTATATAGTGGTATCTCTGTAGTTTTAATTTACAAGTAGAGGTATCTCCTTTTCCTAGTGGCTAATAATGTTGACCATCTATTCTTGTGCTTATTGACCATCTGTATGTCCTTTTTGGTAAAGTGTCTATTCAAATCCTTTACCCATTTTTAATTTGATTGAATTTTAAGATTCTAATATATTCTAGCCATAGACACAATGTGATTTGCAAATATTTTCTCCCAGTGGCTTGTCTTTCCATTTTTCAAAGAGTGTCTTTGACAGAGCAGATGTTTTTAATTTGAAGTCCAACTTACCAATTTTTTATGAGTTGCGATTTTGGTGTCATCTCTAAGAACTTTTTGATTCCAAGTTATGCGTATTTTCTCCCACGTTTTCTCCTGAAAACCTTTCAGACTGATGTTGTACAATTAGATCAATAACCTATTTCAAGTTAATTTTTGTATAAGATATGTGGGTTTAGGTCTAAGTTTATTTATTTTTGCATATTAAGTCCAATTGTCCTAACACCATTTGATGAAAAGAATTGCCTCTCTTCATTGAATTGCCTTTGCACTTAAAAAAAAAAATGAATTGTTTGTACTCATTTGGGTCTATTTTGGGGCTTCCCAGACGGCTCTAGTGGTAAAGAGCCAGCCTGCCAATGTAGGAGAGGTAAGAAACACAGGTTTGATCCCTGGTCTGAAAGATCCTCTGAAGTAGGGCATAGCAACCCACTCCAGTATTCTTGCCTGGAGAACCCCATGGACAGAGGAGCCTGGTGGGCTACAGTCCATAGCGTCACACAGAATCAGACACTACTGAAGCAACTTAGCATACACAAACGGTAATTGTAAACATCAAATAGAACGGATCTTTCAACTTTGTTTTGGAATAATTTTCTAACCTCTGTCACCCTGTGCTAGAAAAGGAGGAGAAAACAAAGAGAAGAAACTTCTATGGAGCACTGTCCATGTCATATGCACTGGACCATGGGAGTTTAATTTTTAAAACAATATATTCCAGGTAGATATTATTTTCCCATTTATGAAGATAAGAGAACTGAACCTGGGAGAATTTTAATAACATGCCCAAGGCCATAGAGTTAATAGAGTCAGAGGTAGGACTTAACCGATCAGACCAACGCTCAAGCTCATGCCCTTTCTTCAACAGTCGTTCAACTTTTCTGAATTTTGGAGGTGTGTAATATGCCCGAGACCTTGGGTGCTCTGCTGGATTGAATTTTTAATATATCATTTATGTTAAAGAGAAAAACCCTCTGTGGTTTTCCAAAAGTCATTCTGTTCTCATGGTTGATATGCAAGCATATTCTTATTTATAGTCTGAACAGAAGGTTTAGTTTGGCCTCTCGAAAAACAGTGCCCAGTTAATAATCTAAGAGTAGATTGTCACACTGGCTACAGGAAGATAAATAATCAAGGATTATAAGTCTTTAATTTAATATAACTTATTCTCATTAATTAAATGCCAATTACCTGCTTGTCTTTCCTGGGAACTGGCCTTTGCAATTAATCTTTCCAGAAACATTGTACACACATGCTCACAGAGGTATTAATATCACTCAAGATTTACAGGCACTGGACTCTTTGGCTTAAACCATCCTCAAACACTCTACACTGTAACCACAGATAATCGTCATAAATTTCCTGATCTTTGACCCAACCGGTTCTTAAATTTCCATTCCCTAACGGGCTTGAGGAGTTAGTATTTATCATACCAAGACGCTTACTTCTAAGGATCAACGCATTCCAGCAAGGCTCTGAATTTCAGACCTCTGACCCATCCTCCTACTTGGAGCTTTGGTTAGTCACAACAGATGAGAATCCCTGGGGACTAAGAGAGTACTCTGTCCTCTGACTCTCCTCTGCAAAATCATTCAATCACAGACTCTATAACCTTACAAAGTACCTGGAGCAACCTGACCCCGAGGAAGCTTTTTGAATGCCCCACCTACATTGTGGAGAAGGCAATGGCACCCCAATCCAGTACCCTTGCCTGGAAAATCCCATGGACGGGGGAGGCTGGTAGGTTGCAGTCCATGGGGTCAGTAAGAGTTGGACACGACTGAGAGACGTCACTTTCACTTTTATGCACTGGAGAATTAAATGGCAGCCCACTCCAGTGTTCTGGCCTGGAGAATCCCAAGGACCGGGGAGCCTGGTGGGCTGCCGTCTATGGGGTCGCACAGAATTGGACACGACTGATATGACTTAGCAGCAGCAGCACCTGCATTGATTCAAGCATTCAATAGCAGCATACATCTGCTGCAGAAGATACTCCCACTTCAACCTTTAGCAGCTAGCTCTGTGTAGCTGCAATTTTTATTAAATTCTTTATCTTCTAGACTGCTTATTCCTTATGCTTGTACATAACCATATATTTTATAGGTGCTATAAATTTAAGTCTTGCAAGTGGTTGGTGGTTTGCTTGGCAGACCTGACCTGGAATATGTGCCTTCTAATTCTGTATTTCAGCTCAACAAGACAAGGAGATGGAAGTGGAAACCATATTTATTGAAGGAAATCCCAGGTTTACTTGCAAGATCAAATTTACACCTTCCAAACATCTGATTAGCTTCTACTGTTACTTTAATATTTTGATTTGAGGGCCCAGAATAGAATTATCTTCATCTCAGTCATTAGTTGAATGGTCTTTTTTGTTTACTTATTCTTAAAATTATACTTCTTTGAGTGTAAAAAACTGCAAGGGAGATAAGTCATGAAACAAGAATTAACATGTATTAATATGGAAAGTCTAATCAAACAATTTGATAATGGTAGTGCATGTATGCCAGGCACCACGCTAAGCTCTTTACATCCTTTTTCTCACTGCTCTCAACAATCCTGTG